AAGCGCGTGCGTGCCCCCAGCCAGGCTGCCCAGAGCAATAGCGGGGGGGTGCCGGAAAAATGGTCTAGGGAGAGGAGGAGGGGGGGGGGGTGGGCAACCTCCTGTTCAGTTGGGCTCCTCCTTGTTCTGCTGAGCCTGGGGGGGGCCCAGGAGAATTTCTCCAGGGTCCGACGTAGCCCAAGGAGCAGCTGCCCCCCCCAGCTTCCGTTTCCCCCTGGGGGAGAGCTGCGCGCTGCTGCACAAGGTGCACGAGGGAGAGCGTTGGTGGCCCTTGGCTTTGTCGAAGGCTGAGACGGGGTCGGGGATGGGGGCATCGTCAGGCGAGGGGCAAGCGTCCCCGGGAGGGCTTTCTAGCTACGTTGGCTGCCCCCTTAGGAAGCAAGCCTCGGCGCAGGGAGGGCTGGCCTCTTGGCCGGCCTGAGGCTGCGCTCTCGGGCTGGCTGGCTGGCTGGCCGGCCTTACGGGGCGTTCTCGCTGCTGGGTGCGGACCGTCTCCGCTCAGCCGGAGCTCTGACCGATGCGGGTTTTGCGCGCTCGAACTGAGGCTCCGGCTGCATTTCGGGGGCTGAGAAGGGAAAGGGCCGGCCAGCTTTTGTCCTGGGGAGGAAATCCCCGGAGGAGGACGAGGACGTAGTGGCGTGTTCTTCCTCCGGAGACCGGACCGCGTCTAAACGTCTTCTGAGAAGGCTTGCCGAGCTTCCCGTCATACGGAGGAGCCCCGGCCTCTGACGCAAACCGGGAAGCGGCTTGGGCCCCGCTCGCTCATCCCGGGGGCTTTTTGGTTCAGGCTGATTTCTCCCTCCATTGCTCACAGGGGCGAGGTGGGCGGCTCCCCTTCCCTTGGCTCGGCTGGCCCTGAGCTGCTTGTTGGGCGGCGGAGGCTTCGGGGGAAGAGGACGGGCAGGCGAAGATCTCGGGGGCGAGTGCTGGCTTGTCTCCCTCCCCTCCGCTGCCAGCACCAGATGTGGGATCCTGGACCGGTGCCATACGATGGGGAAGGGGCAGAGCCAAGGTGAACCGCCCGCTCCGCGCTCTGAAGCGCTGGCGTGTGGGCCGCA